CGTCATTGTTGTTTGGCGGGTCCGGGCTGGGGATTCGAACCCGCCACCTTAGGTATACGTGGCTGGCGCCTTAGCCGGTTGAGCTATAGGCGCCGAGCCTGAAGTGATCCCTTTGATTCCTGACTTTGCCACCCTGTCAAGTGTTCTTCTTCCTCTTGGCATTAATTGGCTTCTTTACTTTCCTATAGGATATCTCCAAATGGGCGTGGGAAGCACTCGTCCTCAAGATGACCGATAGCTTTGGCCTTTAACAACGTTAATTTACATAGGAAGAAAGTTCCTTTTTCTATTTTCTTTCAGTTCTAACTCCAGGGGAAAGTCTTGTCTGGGGACTAGACTAGAACTCATGTATAATTCTTGATTCTTGCTAGTTGTCCCCCTCTAAGAAAAATAAGCCCTCTTGCTTTTACTTCCAGCCTATATCTTTTTTTTTTTTTTTTTTTTAGACAGAGTCCTCACTATGTAACCCTCGGTAGAGTACCATAGGGTCACAGCTCACAGCAACCTCCAACTTCTGGGCTTAGGCGATTCTCTTGCCTCAGCCTCTGGAGTAGCTAGGACTACAGGTGCCTGCCACAACGCCTGACTATTTTTTTATGTAATTTGGCCGGGGCCAGGTTTGAACTCGCCACCCTTGGTATATGGGCCCTACCCACTGAGCCACAGGCACCTCCCCAAGTGAATTATTTTTATTTATTTATTTTTTCAGATGGGGTCTTGCTGTGCTGTGCCCAGTGGACCAAACTCCTGGCCTCAAGCAATCCTCCCGCCTCACATTCCCAAATAATTGGGACTATAGGCATGTGCCACTAGAGCCCAGATAATTGCCTAATTAAATTCTGAGGTCCACAAAATTGAGTCTTCTAAGGTCCCCACTCTTTACCAGCTTAGTAATGACCTTTTGTTAATTCTAATCTCTTGTTAAATCCAAATGGATGGTATCATATATATAAAATATGCAAGTACCCTGGCCAGGCACAGTGGTGGCTCACACCTATAATCCTAGCACTCTGGGAGACCAAGGTGGGTGGATTGCTTGAGCTCATGAGTTCAAGACCAGTCTGAGCAAAGCAAGACTCCGTCTCTAGTAAAAATAAAAAAGCTGGGGCAAGAGGATCACTTTTGCCCAAGAATTGGGGGCTGCTGTGAACTATGATAACCCCATGGCACTCTACCCAGGGCAACTGCTTGAGACTTTGTTTTTTAAAAAAATGCAAGTACAAAAATATATATACACAAGTTCACATCTTGGCATCCCTTGGACTCAAAATGTGTCAACTTTGGGTATTTTGTTCCTGCAGTATAGTAATAGCCACTTAACTTCTCCATAAGCAAATTCAAACATTTGGTTGAAAAGCTGTGACTTTGGCCAAGTTACTTAATGTCTCTGAGCGTCAGTCTATTTTCCTTATTAGAGATTAAATGAAATAATGGTTGTGCAACAGTATCTGGCTCAGGGTAAGCATTCAGATTTTTTTTTTAACAGTCTCACTGTGTTGCCCTCGGTAGAATGCCGTGGCATCACAGCTCACAGCAACCTCAAACTCTTGGGCATAAGCGATCCTCTTGCCTCAGCCTCCCAAGTAGTTGGGACTACAGGCGCCCACCACCCGGCTATTTTTTGGTTGTAGTTGTCATCTTTGGCAGGCCCGGGCTGGGTTCGAATTTGCTAGCTCAGGTGTATGTGGCTAGCGCCCTAGCCGCTGAGCTACAGGCACCAAGCCCAGGTTTTAATTTTGCATTTCATCATTCCGGCCCCTCAGAGGCTGCAGCGTGTTTTGTAGTTTTTGACGGGGGCCAGGTTTGAATCCACCACCTCCGGTGGCCGGCGCCCTACTCCTTTGAGCCACAGGCACCGCCCTGCAGCGTGTTTTGATTAGGTCTCCTAACTATATCTTGGCTGCTTCCCTCAATCCCTTGCACCAATTCAATCACTCTTTCATCCAAGGTCTACTGAATGCCATCCCTGTGCTTGCCACTGACTGTACTTAGTAGGAGTTAACCCAGGTCCCTGCCATTGCCAAACCGAGATCCGGAAAGAAAAACTCCCCAGTAACCGAGGTATGTTTCTGGTTTCGTAAGGGTGAAAGGGAAGTAAACGTCTAATGGTCTGAAACTTGGGGTGTGACGGGTGAAGAGAGTCATCCAGGCAACTGGCACTACTAGTATAACAGCATGGGCACTGGAGAGGAAGCAAACTCTTGGTGCAGTCCGAACGATTCTGAAGGTCCGGGGAAGGCGATAGGACCCAGGGCTTTGAACGCCCTGCCAAGCGATCTGAGCACCTCCTATCTGGCAAAACGATTCTGGAGGAGCTTGTGCGCCGGAGATAGAACTCGGCCTGTCCGAGTTATCTTGCACCATAGCGCAACGCAAGTACAGGAGGATGCCCTCTCTGGCCCATGGGAAAAGCTGCAGCCGTTGAGGGCGGAAATAACCGCCACCAGGAGACAAAACACCCGGACTGTAGCCGGAAACTCCGGGCACTAGGCCTGTGAGCCCCGCGAGGGGGCAGCAGCAAAGGGGCGGGCCTGGCTCTCTCACAGCAGGTGATTGGTTGGCCCCCGGCGGTGGCGACATAGGAGCGTGCAACTGTCACCTCGGTCGGGTGAGTTCTGGGTTCGAGCCTGGGCCCCGCCTGCTCTACAGCTGCCCCTCATCGCCAGGCCATGACTCCCTCCGGTCGGCTCCGCACTCTAGCCTCCCGGAGCGTCCTCTGGAGGGGCAGAGCCCAGGCACGAGCCTCCCCTTGGGAGCGTTTCCGTTCTTCTGTTCCACGCTGCCTGGCCAGGACCCCTGAAGGACTTTTGTGGGGGAGGAGAGAATCGTGCAAGGCCTTACATGACCTCATTCCTAGCAAAAGGCAGTGTGGGCTGGTGGCGGGGAGATCGGCCGCGTGGCACAGATAGAGTCTCCGATGCTAGAGCCCGTTAATCAAGGGTAGGGAGACGCGGCGATGCCCGGATGCGGACCTGAGGGACGTGCGGTGGCGACGCCGGAAGAGGCGGGAGAAGGACGGGGGGGGTGGAGCAGGAGGGGCGGGGAGAAGAGGGGAGGGTACAGGGAGCTGGGCGGGGCCTGGGCGGGGCGGACGATTGGAAATTAGACCGGTGGTTCTGACGGAGGTTAACCTGGGGCCAGGATCCCAAGGCCTGGAGCCAGCGCCAGCCGAGCTATGGGTTGGAAGAGCCCGAGCCGCTTAGGAGAGGAAGTATAGGGAGATGCTTCAGGGTCCAAGGCTTCAGTTTTAAGGATTTGAGTGATTTTGGCAGAGCAGATAATGCCTTTTAAAGGTGCTTTGGATTTGGTCCTTACTTTGGTAAACGGAAGGCTCAATGAATTTTTAAGAATTTCTACTATGGGCTCGGTGCCTGTGGCTCAAGTGGCTAAGGCGCCAACCACATACACCTAAGCTGGCGGGTTCGAATCCAACTCGGGCCTGCCAAACAACAATGACGGCTGCAACCAAAAAATAGCCAGGCCTTAAGACGGGCGCCTGTAGTCCCAGCTACTTGGGAGGCAAAGGAGTTGGAGGTTGCTGTGAGCTGTGATGCCACCGTACTCTACCCAGGGTAGAGCTTGAGGCTCTGTCTCAAAAAAAAGAATTTCTACTATGGAAATTGTTTTTTTTTGTTTTTTTTTCTTGAGACAGAGTCTCACTAGGTCACCCTGGGTAGAGTGCTGTGGCGTCACAGCTCCCACCAACCTAAAACTCTTGGGCTTAAGCGATTCTCTTAAGTAACTAGGACTACAGGCATCCGCCACAACTCCCAGCTATTTTTGTTGTTGTTGTTGTAGTTGTCATTGTTGTTTAGCAGGCCCCGGTTGGGTTCGAACCCTCTAGCCCTGGTGTATGTGGCCAGCGCCCTAACCACTGGGCTACGGGCACTGAGCCATGGAAATTGTTTTCAAATATACAAAACAGGGCAGCGCCTGTGGCTCAAGGAGTAGGGCACATATATAATATATAATCCCGGCCCCATATACCGGAGGTAGTGGGTTCAAACCTGGCCTGGTTAAAAACTGAAGAAATTAAAAAAAAATATATATATATATACACACACAAAGCAGTGAATAAAAGTGCCAGGCTTAGTGGCTCACCTTTGTTATCTTAGCACTCTGGGAGGTTGAGGTCAGGGGATTGATTGCTTGAGCTCAAAATGTGTCAACTTTGGCTATTTTTTTCTGCAGTATAGTAATAGCCACTTAACTTTATTTTATTTATTTTTTTTTTGAGACAGAGCCTCAAGCTGTCCCCCTGGGTAAACTGCTGTGGCATTACAGCTCACAGCAACCTCCAACTCCTGGGCTCAAGCAAGTCTCCTGCCTCTGCCTCCCAAGTAGCTGGGACCACAGGTGCCCGCCACAACCCTCAGTTATTTTTTGGTTGCAGCCGTCATTGTTGTTTTGGCGGGTCTGGGCTGGGGATTCGAACCCACCACCTTAGGTGTACGTGGCTGGTGCCTTAGCCGGTTGAGCTATAGGCGCCGAGCCTTAACTTTTCCATAAGCAAATTCAAACATTTGGTTGAAAAGCTGTGACTTTGGCCAAGTTACTTAACCTCTCTGAGATTCAGTCTATTTCCTTTATTAGAAGATTAAATGAGATAATGGTTGTGCAGCAGTATCTGGCTCAATGTAAGCATTCAGCTGACTCTACTAAAAACAAATAGGAAAATGTTAGCGGAGTGTTGTGGCAAGTGCCTGTAGTCCTAGCCTCAGCTACTCAGGAGGCTGAGGCAAGAGGATCTCTTGAGCCCAAGATTTGAGGTTGTTGTGAGCTATGACGCCATAGCATTCTACCCAGGATGACAGAGTGAACTCTATCTCAAAAAAAAAAAAAAAAGTGCAGGAAAGCAAAGAAAATAGCATATCATTATAGGTGGTTTGGATGGCATGGCATACCATACGGATCCCAAGTGTTCCTCCTAGGGCCTCAAGAATCATCCAGGAATAGCTACCCCTTGTTGCTATACAAATATTTTAAGACACACATCAAATTTACACTGAAATATGTTAATCTTATCTACTAAAAAAGTTCCTTTCATGTTTGAACTGTATATAGTTTCAGTTATGCAATATGAAAACAATTCTGGAGACTGGTTGCACACCAATGTTGAATGTACTTAACACTACAGAACTATACAAATAAAAATGGTACAATGGGGCAGCACCTGTGGCTCAGTGAGTAGGGTGCTGGCCCCATATACTGAGGGTGGTAGGTTCAAACCCAGCCCCAGCCAAACTGCAACAAAAAATAGCCGGGTGTTGTAGTAGGCGCCTGTAGTCCCAGCTACTTGGGAGGATGAGGCAAGAGAATCGCCTAAGCCCAAGAGCTGGAAGTTGCTGTGAGCTGTGATGCCACAGCACTCTACCAAGGATGACAAAGTGAGACTCTGTCTCTAAAAAAAAAAAAAAGGTACAGTGGAACAGTAAGCTAAAAGAGTTGTTAAACTGGATGGATGTGGTTGCTTATACCTGTAATCCTAGCACTATGTATGGGAGGCTGAGGTAGGAGGACTCTTTGAGCTCAAGAGTTCGAGACCTGCCTCATTAAGAGTGAGATCCCGTCTCTACAAAAAACATAAAAATAAAAGCATTGACCCTTGGGCAGTGCCTGTGGCTCAGTAGGTAAGGCGCTGGCCCCTTATACCGAGGGTGGCGGGTTCGAACCTGGCCCTGACCAAATTGCAGCAAAAAATAGCCAGGCATTGTGGTGGGTGCCTGTAGTCCCAGCTACTCGGGAGGCTGAGGCAAGAGAATCACTTAAGCCCAAGAACTGGAGGTTGCTGTGAGGTGTGATGCCACAGCACTCTACCAAGGATGACAAAATGAGACTCTGCCTCTAAGGGCACCTGTAGTACCAGCTATTTGGGAGGCTGAGGCAAGACAAACACTTAAGCCCAAGAGTTTGAGGTTGCTGTGAGCTGTGACACCATAGCACTCTACCAAGGATGACATAGTGAGACTCTGTCTCAAAGAAAAATAAAAAACCCTCTTATAAAATATAATAATAGGCTCGGCGCCTGTGGCTCAAGCGGCTAAGGCGCCAGCCACATACACCTAAGGTGGCGGGTTCGAATCCCCAGCCCGGGCCCGCC